TCAGATATGAGGCGGTAATGTTTGGTTTATCTAGAGGTTTTAATCTGTTACTGTGGAAATGGGTTTGGCTGATAGTTAAGCTCAGATTCTAATCTCTCTGCAGGGTGGGACCATAAATCTGATATCTGAGATGTTTAAACTGTGGAGGATCCAGTCCAGGTGGACCGGGTCCATGGAGGACGCAGCCTGCCGCCTCCACCCAGTCCCCAGAGAAGCAGAACTGGGTCGTCTGGTTCTGGTTACCTGTGAACAAAGGCCCGGTTCTGGTTACCTGTGAACAAAGGCCCGGTTCTGGTTACCTGTGAACAAAGGCCCGGTTCTGGTTACCTGTCCACGAACATGACCAGCTGCTCCTGGTTCTTCTCCAGCTCCAGCAGCTCCTTCTTCAGCCATCGGACCTTCTGACCTCCTCCCACGGTGCGGGCCACGTCTCCTCCTCTCCACTCCTCCCCCAGACCCAGAACCTGCCAGAACCGCATGGAGACCCGGTTAGCCCCGCCAGCAGAACCGGAACCTGGTTCCTGGTTCTGGTTCCCTCACCTTGACGGTGTAGTTGAACTGGGAGGCCGTCCTCATGAAGCGGCGGAAGCCGTCCGTCTCCTCGGTGGCAGCCGTCAGAACCAGGAGGTTCTCTGTCAGAGACACACAGAGTCACTCTACCTGCTCTAGATCTGTTCTGCTACCGGACCGGGTCTGACAGCTGGCCCTCCAGAACATCAGGAGGAACCTTCTGGACCCAACAGAACCTCAAAAGCTGGAGGAGGAGGAGGCGGGTTGCCATGGTAACAGGGCCTCTTGGCTCCAGGGTTCTGGTTCTGTTCAGTAGAACCAGAACCCTGGAGCGACCCGTTCCTCTGCTGGTTCTGTCCCAACAGGTCAGAACCAGAACCTTCCATCCAGTCTCCTCGGGTTCTGCTCAGGACCTTTTCCTGGGTCAGAACCAGAACCAGACTGGAGAAATCTGTCACAGAACCCAGTATAACCCAGTAGAACCGATTAGAACCCAGCAGGACCCAGTATAACTGCTTTATTATCCAGTTAAAACCGGACCAGAACTGTTCTGGTAGCAGGTTTCCGGTGGTACCGGAGCTCCAGCGGCTCACTGTTCTCCTGCAGGCCGGACAGAGGAGCCCGCAGGGCGGCCTTACCTGGAGAGAGCCTCCGCTGTTCGGCCCTGACGGAGCTCAGGAAGCAGAAAGCAGCGAGAAACAGCAGCGGACTGGACGCCATGTTTTCCCGCTCAGAACCCGATCAGAACCCGCTCGGTTCGGTTGAACAGAACTTTTACTTTATCCGCTTCTTCTCGCAGGAATCTCAGTCCATCAGTTTCCTCTGGTCCAAACCTCGCGATGCTTTTAGCCGCGAGATCTGCCAGAATAAACACAGACCGCTAGAAAGGCGGGTCTCTGCGCTCAGCCAATCAGAAGCTCAGCAGGTTTGACTGACAGGCTCTGAGCCAATGGCAGGCCGACAGATGGAATCGGGGACAGAAAGGGGTTTTGTTCAGATTTGTCCAAGAGGAGAAAGTTCGTGAAAAGAATCTGAATCTGTGCCACGTGTGTGACATTCCACGGAAAGAGGGAGACCCACGGAGACAGCGTGGGGAGGGAGCAGGGCCTAAAACAGCATGTGTTTGAACAGATTATGGGTTTATCACAGATTATAGGATCAGATTGGTTATACAAACAGCAACATCAACAGCAGTTAGATAAAGTGGATGTTTCCTGCGTGGGTAAAGACATCATTACAGAGCAGCAGCTGATCCTGGCTTTAGAGCTGCTGTCTGACACAAAACAATGCTTCTGTTGGTTCCCACTGAATTCTATAAAGTTTATTTCTATAGCTCCAATTCACACCCTGTCATCTCAGGTCACTTTATAGATCCAGATCGTCCAGGCAGATTGATTCACAGTTTTCTATCTAAGGAAAACCAGCTGATTGCATCGACTCATTGACTCTTCAGCAATCCCTCACACTAAGCATGCTTGTAGCGACAGTGGAGAGGAAAAACTCCCTTTGAACAGGAAGAAACCTCCAGCAGAACCAGGCTCAGTGTGAGCGGCCATCTGCTGAGGCCCACTGGGGTTCAATGCTTCTGTTCTCTTTGTTTTAATAAATGTTTGGAACTTTTCCCACTGTCTGTCTCACCTTGAATATCGGCTCCATCTGTCCTGCTTATAAAGAGACCAGCATCATCAGCGTGCTGGGATTGTTCTAATGGTCCATCAGAACCAGGGTTCCCTGAATCGGACCCGTTTAGAGACGCGATCAGAGGGAAGAGGAAGGAGCAGCCTGGCGTAACGTTTAATCAGTGATTACAGCAGCCCTGATGGAAGCTTGGAACAGGAAATTACAGTTTATTAAATACTTTACAGAAATCAGTCAATAAATTGTGATAAAATATTGCTGCTTGTGTCTCTTTCAGACATTAATCCTGTTTGCTCTGCATTAATTATATCATTTAGCAAAGATTACGTTTGGGATTAACCTGGCTGAGGTCTGATAATTCACCTCTCAGGGTTTAATCTCCAAACAGACCTTTTATAATGGGACCAGTTCTTTCCCAGGGTCTTTCTAGAAGGTTCCTCTAAAGGATTTATCATCCATTAAAACTAAAAGACAATCTTTATGTCCTTTTTCACTCATTTCTCACAGGTTCTTTCTAGATGTTCCAGCCCTTCTGGAGGAAAAAGTCTCCCTGAAAGTCAAACATGGAGGCAAACAATGACTGATGCCAGGATTGCATCAAATGAACACAGGAAGTGATGGTCTGATTTCTGAGCTGTGCAGAACTCAGAGGGACAGACGGTGAAAATCGGCTCTAGATGGAGAAATCTAGGCCAAGGGTAAAATCAGCAGTGATTAGATGTAAACATAAGATGTGATATCATTTACAGTTTTTCCACATTCAGCCATTTTTCTTTCCATTTTATTCATCAGTGTGATGGCGGCGGGGAAGAAGCTGCTGCAGAACCTGCATCAGACGCTGTGGAGCTTCGTCCCAGAGGGCAGCAGGTAGAACAGGAAGAAGGATTTTATTTATTATTATTTTTTAAGCACTACTGGCTCGTTTTTTCAACAGTAGGCTGACAGGAAACCCGGGTCGACGGCGTGGAGGACTAAGGCCTCCATATATGGGTCGCTAACCACTGCACCACCTGCATGCCCAGGAGAACAGTAATAGAAAATTATTATAGATAGACACCAAACACATAGAGCTGTACAGATATCAGGGTCAGTGGGTAACATGGTAATTGTTTCCTAGCAGCTGATTGGCTGCTGGGTGGAGCGTTTTCTAGGATTCACATCAACCCTGAAAGCTAGCCTGTGTTCAGGGTAGGTTACCATGGTAACCGGGCTCTGCTAACAGTAAATCCAGCTTCGTGGCGCCGGTCGGCCTCCGCTGGCCTACTGGTACCTAAAGAAACCCTCTCCTGTTCTGTCCTGCTGTTGGATCTATATCTGTATTTCTGCGCAGGTAGCTTTTTCTAATCTAGGTCAGTTTTCTTAGAACGTTTTACAATCAAAGGAGCAAACTGGACCAGGAGGACCAGGACTCTGTGTTTCACTACAACTCCCAGCAGCCTCAGCCTGCAGAGAACCGTTCAGCTTGGGAGGGTAAACACAGGTTGCCATAGCAACCCAAACACTAACTGACCTCCTTCCTGACGGTTTGTTTCCTCCTCAGAGGATGGAGCGGCCGCGGTTCTTCACGCCCTCTGAGGTGGCCTCTCACCGCTCCCCCTCTGACCTGTGGGTGTCCTTCCTGGGGGGGGTGTGGGACCTGAGCCCACTGGTGAGACGGTACCACGGTGAGGCCCGGCTGCGTGGACACGGTGGACAGGGAGGTCTGCTTTCTGATCAGGTTTCTAACCTCTGTGTCTGCAGGAGACGTTCTGCTGCTTCCCATCATGGAGGCTGCTGGGAAGGACATCAGCAACTGGTTCGACCCCCAAACCAAAGACGTGAGTCTGGGTCCGGCAGGGTTCTACCAGAACCATCAACTTCCTGTAGGATCTGAACCACTGAGACTCCAGGATTCAAAGGAACATTTTCACTCTGATGGCTGATAATGGTCAGATAGATTCTCTGGAGAACATTAGAGAGCAAACAGCATGATGGAGACAATGGGAGCCAGAGGACGGGTCAGGGAGGAGGTTCTGGTCAGGTTCTAGGTCTCACCTGGTGGATCCAGCTGATCTCCAGATGGTTTATGGTTCCCTCAGACCCTGCGGTTCATGGACCGTCTGACCTGCTGCTGTGATACTTTCATATATTTATTGTCCGCCCCATAGGGAGGTCAATATTTCATTTATCAGATATTATTCAGGCTGTTATATATTTTTACGAACACGCCTCCTACTGGCTATATCAGAACAAAGAGTGAATGGAGCTCTAATCATGGTGAAACAGTTAATGCTGAGCATAGATGGAATAAATTCACCACAACTTCCATTAAAATATGAGAGTTTAACAAAAATCCTTCAGCCTCCAGTCAAACATATTTCAGTTTAAAACTCTGAACTAAAACTAATGAAAGTCAACTAAACTAAACTACTAAGTAGAGAGGAAGGGAAACATGGCTGAAAACCGTTTCACAGTTTCGCTTAGATTTATGTTTGAGAACCAAAGTTTATCAGGAAGAATTTGAGATATGACAAAATTAGATTTTAACTAATTCAGAACAATTGGAATGTTTT